TCTATGATTATAATTATAATTATAATTATAATTATTATAAATGCAATTACAAATATAATTTAAATAAAATTATAATTATAATTGTAATTATAATTACAATATTTATCTCTATAATTGTAACTATAATTATCAATATTATTATAATTACTCCGTAAAATAATTACAATAGTAATAATAATAATAATAATAATAATAATAATAATAACTATAATAAAAATAATAATTATAATCATAAATTATAATTATAATATAATTATAAGTATAATTATAATTATTATAATTATTATTAATAATAATTATAATTATATTAACATTAATTATAATAAGATAATATAATAATAGTAATATAAATACAATTAATATTATTATAACGATATTATTATATTAATATTATTATTACAATAATATAATAATAATATGATTATTATTATAATTAGTATTATATTATTATAATATTATATTATAATTATAATCATAATCATAATTATAATTATGATTGTAATTATAATTATAATTATTATAATTATAATTAATTACAATTATAAATATAATTAATTATAGATATAATTATAATAATTACAATTGATTATACTTATAATTATAAGAATTATAATTGTAATTATAATTATAATTATAATTACATATAATTATAATATAATATTATAATAATATTAATCATATTATTATTATTATGTTGTAATAATAATAGTCTTCTTAACAATTGCATTTATATTACTATTATTATAGTAAAATATTATAACTATTATTAATATCTTTTTTTATCATATTATTATTAATATTATTAATAATAATTATATAGTAATAATCATAATAGTAATAACAATATTAATAATAATAATTAATATTTAATATAATAATAAAAGTGATAAATCATGTTTGGACTTTTCTGATCTGATCTGATCTGAATGTTTCTGATCTGGTCTGATCTGATCTGATCTGGTCTGAATTTTTCTGATCTGATCTGATCTGATCTGAATTTTTCTGATCTGATCTGATCTGAATAAAATAAGAATAAGCAATAAGTAATAAGAATAAGACGAACAGAACAGCACCTGAGGCACACCTTTCTAACATGAGAATTACTAGAAGCTACGTGTAAGTGTGTAACTAATTATAGGAAATCACAATAATTCACAAACAAGGTTTTTGAGTGGGGGTTCGCAGTAAAAAAAGGCTTTTGAGTGGGGTAAGGTGGGTGGGGGTGGGGCGGGATGCACAATTTCTCTTCATTTTACGAGAACCAGCCATGACATGCTTTGAAATCAGTACGATCCGGTTCGACATAAAAAACTTGAGATCTGTTTCAAAATTCAAACCCCGTTTTTTGGTTCACTGTCATACTGGTCCGATTCAGTACCATGTTGGTTTGGTATTTTTGCCCGCCCCTGGAAGCTGTTAATCTCGTTTGTGCTTTTCAAAAATTTCCGAATCCACTTATATTCATAATTTTTGTGATTTCATGAAGGGAAAGTTTTTAAAATATCATGTCTACATTCCACCTATATATTCTATTGTTTTTTGTCTTGACCTTCGTTTCAAACTTTCAACTTATCACACATTTTTAGTGTACTATTACACTCCTTTCTATGATGAGTACTCTATGTACGAGGACGCCCCTATAGATCATCAAACTCAATTCAATGATATTATTAATTTATTTCACAATTTATTTAATGAGTTTCATACACAAGATAACGTACTCCTTCCCTCGAAAATGACTACTTCAATCTTTTTAAATATACAATATCTAATCTTTTAAAGAAAAAAGTAAATTCACTTCTGTCGATGCATAAAGCTCGATTATAATGAAGGAGAGGAATTTGATATTCTCCAATAGTTGAAGAGCCACGAAAGAACGTTCTCCATTTTAAAAAAGGGAAGGGAAAATGGAAACTAATAATTCAACCTTTCAACAGTCTTTTTACAATAGTCCCACCTTTTCGTTATTCAAGAATAATCCAACATTTGCACCTCATCTTCATTCGCTGGTCCTTGACCGATAATGACCTGTTATTCCAAGTTATCTTCTTATCTTTGCAAAATATTATCTTGGTGAAATGTGAGATTTATGGTATAATGGTTTGCAAAGATGAGAAAATAACTTGGAATAGCGGGTCATGGACCAATGAATGAAGATGGGGTGCAAAGGTTGGATTATTCATGAATAACGAAAAGGTGGGACTATTGTATGAACATCGCTAAAAAGTTGGATTATTAGTTTCCATTTTCCCTTTAAAAAAATGGTGAAACAAGTACTGTCAGTGCCGATTTCAACAATTGCAATGGAACAAGAGTTTAGTGAAACCGTCAACATCTTGACTGATTTCAAACGAAGTTGAGTGCTTCATCTCTTGAGACACCCATTTAATTCCATAATTGGTTGAATGTCCATCGTAGAATAAAAGAAGTTAACATAGCAACAATCGATGCCAATTCAAATGATCAGTTCACGTATCTAAAGTTTTAACTATTCTCAATTGTAATATATATATAAATGTAGAATACTCTAAGTCAACGTAATGTTTGAAATAAATCTTTTAATCTTTTAAGTTTTAACATTTGTTATTTAAAAAGAATAGGTCAATAAACCAGTCCAAGACCGGCCGAGTACTCGGGACCAGGACCCTATACATCCGGGGCAATTTCTTACTACATGTTACTATGTGATGTATACTTCATATTTTGGGATTTTGTAGAGTTTTGAAAACAGTTTGTAAATGTGTACATTATAATTAGTAAAATCAATTTAATTTTGTAATCATTTAACTTTAAACATCAAATTGCAAATCAACTTAGCCTTAGAAAGTACTACGTATGATACTTTAACATTAGGTATTTTTCGGTTTTCAACAAGGACAGAGTTGGACTCTTTTGATAAATTTAGTATGCGTTTTCTTTTTTTAATGGTATTTAGTACGCGTTTTATTACTTGAAAAACAATTTTAGACAACATTCTCGAGATTACAGCTTATAGTTTTAAATTTAAAACTTTCCATGTTAACCAAAGCTCCAAAACGACTTACGAAACAAAGAGCACTTAGGAAATACGGAGTACTCAAATACACCTATAATAATAAAAAATCATAATTAATTCCAGTTAGTGGTGGACTCGGGCCGGGTGGCCCAACCCGAAACCGGCCCGGGGACCGACACTATTCCGGACCGAACTGGTGGCCCGGCCAGTGACCAATCCGGGTAGGCCCGACCCGAGGGGTTTCCGGGCCGGGCTCGGGTCACCCAAAACATGAACCGGCCGGTCCGGGCCTGGTTCCGGGCTTTTTTTCCCAACTTTTTTTTTTAAATCCCGGGTTGGGTATTTTGGGCCATTTGGGGTGGGGGGTCGGGGTAAATAGAAAAAGGGGGGGAAATGTAATAGGCCCGGCCCGGCCCGGTGGCTACCCGAGCCGGTCCCGAGCCCAACATTCCCTAACCGGCAGCCCAGTTGGGCCTAGGCCCGGCCCGGGCTCGAACCGGCCCGAGTCCAGCACTAATTCCAGCACAAAACAAACCACCTCTTAGATTATCCATGTATGTTGCATTGGGACACTACACTCTACACTGTCCAGACTTTGACCCAAATGTAGTGTTGGACCCGGTTCGGGCCGCCCGACCCCGGGAACCGGCCCAGCCCGCTACCGTGCGGGTCCGGCCCGGCCCAGTGTACCGGGTTTGGTTCTGGGCCTTGGCCCAGTCCCGGGGGTTAGGGTGGGGCGGTCCCGGTTCACCCAATTCTTTGGAACCAGCCCAGGCAGGCCCGAGCCCGGTTCGGGCCTTCTAATTTTTTTTTTTTTTTTAGTATTTTCATTGTTTTGGACTTTTTCCTGAGTGGGCTGGGTGTTTTGGGGGGTGGGGGGGGGGGGGTCGGAGGTTAATAAGAAAAGGAAAAAAAACATGGACCAGACCCGACCCGGACCCAACCCAGCCCGAACGCGGTGGTAACCCGGGCAAGTCCCGGGCCTTCTACCAAAAATCAAAAGCCCAACCGCGCCTAAGCCCGACCTGGGCCCGAGTCCATGACTACCCAAAAATGAGAAATTGTTACCCTGTAGTATAATGGGAGATTTACCTCAATAGGATCAAAACATGGCTTTTTTCTCAAAATAGGAGTACCTAGTTTAAACATCCTTAAATAGGACTTTTTATTAGGGATTGGACCAAAATACCCCTCACAACCTTTACCACTGCTGCCCAGGGACTGCCGGACCGCCGCCTGCCGCCGCCGGTCGGCCGCCGCCGGAGCTCCGGCGACCGCCGCCGGAAAAATTCCAGATTTTTTTTCTGGAGGTTTGCCAACATTCTGCCGCCGCCGCCACATGCCGCCGGCCGGCCGCCGCTGCCGGAAACCGCCTCTTCCACTGCCGCCAACCTGCCGCCACCTCCGGACTGCCCCGCTACCAACGGACTGCCTTGATTGTGCAAGAGAACTAGGGGGGCAATTAATTGGGTTAATTAATTGCCGGAGTTGCCGCCGCCGCCGCCGGAATCCGCCACCGGCCGCTGCCGGAGTGCTGCCGCCACCACGGACTGCCCTGCCACCGACGGACTGCTTTGGTTGTGCAAGGAAACTAGGGGGCAATTATTTAGATTAATTAATTAATTAAATAGAATTAGGGGTAAAAAAGGTAAGGTTAGTCCTATTTAGAGAAAAACATGCATGTGATCCTATTTTGAGAAAAGGGTTGAGTTTTAGTCCTATCTTGGACAATTTTCTCTAGTATAATTAAGTACCCCGTTTAACTTTTGACAAAAAGCGGAAGTTCTCCGTATAACTTAAGAACAAAAGCATGAAAGCATTACTATACAATGCGAATAATAAAATTGAAAATAATTACTCCGTATAAAACATCAATTGTTATAAATCAAGATTTATCTATAAATTAATCTTAACAACACCACTCGTCCTTAGTAATCGTGAACCTCTTCACTGGAATACCCAACACAGTTAACCCATTGGAGGAAGGAAAAAACAACTCAACCCCAAAAAAACAGACTTGAATTGGTAGGCGGTAACATTAATGTTTTCACGGAACAAGAGTAGAGAACAAAGTAACAAGACGTGATAGAAAACACATGCATTATTTTGCAACTGAAGTTCAAAGACAAACTCATATGGGTAATGTTTCACAACCGTGAAACCATAAAACATGACATAACTTGAGACAGCAAACACACATAACCAAGTAACCAACTAGGAGGTCAAGACACTTGAAAACAGAAACCAGAAAAGTTAAGTATATAGTTTACCGTGCAGAAAACAATGAAAATCAAACACATATGAGGAGCATGTATGAATATAGAAGCAACAGCTTTCATTCCTCCTCGGTTTCAGATTCTGCACTTTGAAGCCAATCAACAAATGGTTTAGCATTCTTCCAAAGAGGGGAATCATTATACTCCTTAACACCTCCATTGTACCACTCCACTATATACTCTTCCTCGAGGATATCAGCATCATACAAAGCTTTCAAAACCAATGCAACTTCCTTCACCGCAGCAGAATTTGTTTTTCCACAGAACTCTCCTATGGCATTCAGCAAATACACTTGTGACCCTTCATTCTGAGACATAGCAGCTGCAAGATAGTTCTTTTTCTTGACAATCACCTTCGCATATCCTTTGTCTACACCGTCCAAGAGAGATTCATACAAGGCAGTCATGATCTCTTGTGGAGTCCCAGAAAGAGATCCAAGAACAGACAAGAATTGGCTGGTGCTGATGCCTTGCTTCATATTCTCCTTTAACTCATCTACAAGCTTCTCATGAGAGGAGGTTTCATTTTTCTCCGCCTCATCAGATGGTGGGGAAGAAGCGGGTTTTAGGCTTTCCTCGGTCTTATTGACTTTCTTGGACTTCTTAGAGGTGTCATCATCATTTGTGGAAAGCATAACCATGTCAGCAGTTACCGCATTAAGCTGTTCTTGGATGCGTTGGCGTGCGGCCTCCATTGACGTGTCAGTTTGCCAAGTCACATCATCATCATCATCTTCATCATTGTCATCTTCATCCTCATTAACATGGTTTCTAGGCGGGGAAGCAAGATTACCATCACCACCAAGGGTTTTCTTTTTAGAGCTAGTTTTAACAATAGGGGCATCCTTTAAAGTAACTTTTTTCTTTGCATCTTTCTTAGCCTTCTTAAGTTCCTCATCAGCAGCCTCACCTTCCTTGAGCCTTTCTTTCTCAGCCCTCCTCAATGACTTCTTATCCTTTGAATTCTTTTTGGATTCAGGTGGGTTCTTAAGGATAAATGAAGTCAGTTTGTCCCTCATGTCGACGTCAGAAATGAAACCACAGGCAGCACATTTCAGTTGGACCATTTGGCTTTTAGTGATCAAGATCTCTGTTTCGGGGTTTCCACATCCATAACACTGAACATACTTCTTAATGAAGTTTTCGAGAAGACCAGCAAGTTTGGCAGTGTCATGGGCTCCATTGACGAGTGAGATGCCTGTTTTTTCATCAAATTTAGATTGTGCTCCAAGTTCACAACCGAAGTATTTTGTTGTGTAGGAAGGCGGCCTGGCTAAAGCTTTAGCTATATCAACCATGTTGACAACATTAGTCTTTATACCGTTTCCACGTCCCTCAATCTTGGTAATCATTCTTGGCATCTTGTACCTGTAGAAGGCATCATCTCTGTTACCCGCACCTATGTTCTGCAACGCCATGTTTGAAATGTTTGTGAGTATCAGAGCAGCAAGTGATTGGGATTTGGGAAGGTGAAGAAGCCTTCAAGGGGATTGTCAGCACAAAGATACTGGTTTGCTAGTTGCTCCGGAAATGGTCCAAGATGTATACATTCAATTTTATCAGAAAAATGAGGGTTCTTTTTCCTTGACTTAGGACAATACTTTCCAAGTAGCCCAATTGTCCCGGAATAGAGAATGGCTTGTTCGGACATAAAAGACTCCACACTGCAACGCTAAAAGACTTTGACTAGAAAAGACAAGGCCTGAAAAACTTCATCACAAGAGTACAAAGGTTAAGACACAAAAGTAGTATTCTCTGAGGTAGATCATAGATAAAGCCATAAATAAGCAAATCAGGATTCAACTACTATGTTTTGGGACTTCATTGGCAGATTTATCTTATGTAGAAGAAATTTAATCCAGCAAGTAGGTCTACATTGGGTTTTCAACTTTTCATACATTCAGGGAAATGTAAATTAATTTATGGCGGGGTCAAGGATTAAAGTAATCTACAATGTCAATATCTTAAGTTATACAGTGTCGCAGAGCGCAGCAATCAATGAGGCTTAACACTTTTGGGCTTGAAACTATAAATTTAAGATTTAGAATTATAACATCTACCAGATAAAATACTGAAGCCATTCTTACAAATTTTAAAAATTGTAGTTTTTATTTCATTAAAGTAGTTGTGATCCTTAAAGTGATAGGTCTTATGAGACAATAATGAGACTTTTACACAGTTGGAAGCTATATGAACAATAGCACAAATTCATTAGTTGATATCAAATCTATTTTGCATAACTTGAATCAGGCCAACCACAACAAAACATCTATTTTATTTATTTATCCTACGATACACCTTTGCAAAAAACAGTTCAAATCAAATATTTCTTTTACATTGTTTCCACTAAAATAGCACATTGAAATACTACCAAAATAAAGAAAATACATATAGCAAGTAATATCCCAGGATATTTTATCTGGTTTGCATCCATCTATCTACCTACCTAGTTATCTATCTATTGTGATCTATCTACTTAGCTACTTAATTAATTACCTATTTATAATTAGGTGGTTTACTTTGCCAATAATTAAACCAAAACAGGCTTGGAAAAACAAAAACATAGAAGGGTATGCTTCCACATAAAGAAGCATTCATTCTGACAGGTAATGTATATGTCAAATGGTTACAAATTGCAATGCTCAAATGTTTAAGTATGCAGTCTTCATTTGTTTCCAATAATATATAAGTGGTTGTTCAGCAGATAATTACTCCCTGTGGTTGTTTCGCTATTCGCAATTACCAAATTCGAACTTTTTGAAATTTAAGCTAACCAAATGAATGTAATAATAAAATATTGATTGAAGTAATAAAATAATCACTTTTCACACACAATCCGCTGTCTCTTTGAAAACTAAAAATCAATACATCATAAGAAACTAAAAAACAAACACTTCAATATAACACATCTTTTAATTAAAATATGGGAGAAATTAATAATTTGAAAACGAAAGTACAAAACAAAAAATTAAAAAAAGCCAGATCAGTCGTTAGTAATAAAAGTAGGGAATATATAATATCAGAAAATTCATTTGAAAAGAATCAATACAAAACAGAAAATACTTGACTGAAACCGTGAAAATAAGATCTGTAGAGTGGGGTTTGAATATTTGGACATTATACCATGGATCTAAAAATTCAGGAGGGAATCAAACATTGTGTTTCATATCTAGATAACTGAATCCGGACTTGATTTTTGTATGCGATATTTGATCCGATTGGAAGCTAAAACAGCGAAGACTAAAGATGAACATCAGAGGTGACGTACCTGGATATGGAAGAACGCTGGATTTTTGTGTAATATAAGAGGCCGGAGCAGAAGGGAGGCTTATATATTCTTGTGGGAATCCGGAGATGTTTCTAGGGTGAAGTAATCATATCGAGTTTGAATTGGGCTTGAGTTCATTAGGAAAAATGTTAAGTTGGCCCCATATTCGGCCCAATAATTTCATAAGAAATAGTGTGTAATTTAGTTTTTGAAAAGGAAAAATGGAAACTAATAATCCAACATTTTAGCAGTCTTCTTAAAATAGTCTTACCTTTTCGTTATTCAAGAATAATCCAACTCTTGCACCTCATCTTCATTCGTTGGTCCCTGACCGGTTAATGACTTGTTGTTCCAAGTTATTTTCTTATATTTGCAAAATAATATCTTTGTGAAATGTGATATTTATGGTATAATGGTTTGCAAAGATAAAAAATACCTTGAAATAGCAGGTTATCAACCGGCCAGAGACCAGTGAATGAAGATGAGGTGCAAAGGTTGGATTATTCATGAATAACGAAAAGGTGAGACTATTGTAAGAAGATCGCTAAAAGATTGGATTATTAGTTTTCAGTTTCCCTTTTGAAAACCTGTTTGGGGTAATTTAATCAATTTATCGGATATTACAAAGGGCGTGTTTGGCATTTAATGAATAACGGATAATGTTAGATTCAGTCGGTTGGTTTAAGTAGAGGAATAAGTTGGCGGGTTACCAGAAGATGTTGGGTAATTTAGCTGTTTGGCTATAACAATTAGTAGAAAACATCATATTTTAAAACGCTTTCCCAAAACTCTTCTATTTGTAATGTTTCCATTTCATCAATTACAGCCAAAAATGTTAGAACCGAACAGCTTTTTATCAAACAACGTTTTCACTTTTTGAAAATGCTAAAGGGGTCAACCCGTTGTTTTTTTATTGAAATGTCATTTTTCCAGCATTCCAAACCTCTATGTCGATAGTTTGATACATATACAACATTATTACTACATAATACATGAATGAAATAATAACACATTTTAAATAAGTTACTATTTTTGGACCATAATGGGGAAAACGTCCTAAACAAGAGGTTTCTCACAATTGCATTTGTGCTCCAAGTGCGGCCCATTCTCGCTTCATGCAATGCATACCTCATCACCTTATTTCTGCTCATTCTAGCAAGAATATTTGTCACTTTGTTATGTTTTCTCATAATACATTATATGGTAATCTTGCCCTCCTTTCCCATTCAATTTTGGCCCCTGCCCCGAGGCATTTGGGGCGGGTCCGACCACCTTCGTCACCTCCGCCTTCATCACCCTCGGCTCCACCCTCGACCATCGTCGCCTCCACCTTCATCGCCTCCACCTTAGCTTCCACCATCGTCACCTCCGCCTTCATTACCCTCGTCTCCACCTTCCACCATCGTCGCTTCCGGCTTCATCGCCCCCGCCTTCCACCATCATCGTCTTTGTTTTCCTCCGAATTCCAGCCCCCCTCCTCCTACTTCTTCCTCTTCTTCTTCTTTTCTTCTTCTTCTTCCTCTTCTTCTTCTTCTTCCAATCCTCTACTTCTTCTTCTTTTGAGCTTTAACATTGGCTTTTAAGATTTTCCTCCTATGCCTCTGTTTTTGTGAGTTTAAACATTCATTTGGCCAAAATTCGGACCCCTGTTTAGTATTTTCGATTAAGATTTCTTGCTTTTTAAAAAACCGGATTTTCTGGAATTTTGGATGATGGCATAAGATTTTCCCAAATTATGACAAAAATGTGCATACTGACAATCGAGTATGGTAGGATAGATCTTGTGTAAATCGTTTTTCAAATTTTTTTTGTCATTAGTTTTGTAATTGTGATTTTCGATTGTATTAAAGTGTTGATTCCTTTGAAAAATTATGTTTTGAATATTTGGTTGTTGAGTTCATATGTATGCCAAATTTATGACAATTTTGTGTTATTCTTCCAGGATAAATTTGCCAACTTGTTGGCATATTTAAAAGTTCACACTAATAGCATATTTAAATTAATATTGAAGGCCAAATTTGCCAACTTAATGGCAGATTTGTGGCATTGGTGTTTGTGAAGGCGGTGGTGGTGCTTGAAGTTGCATTGATTGCCTCTAGATCTAACTCTCGTGGTAGTTTTGCTGAAAAGCAATGATGAGACCAGGATGAGCGCCGGCGGCAAAGGATGACATTGCTAGTTGGGGCGACGTCTATGTGGGCGGTGGCGGCGCTGGTGAGTGTGGCTGAAGTGCTCTTGTTGAAATTTTAGGGTTTCATCAAATTTTAATTTTACATTTTAAATTAGACATTCAAATAAAAGTTGAATGGGGACATTTTTGTACAACTAGGTGATTTTAAGTTCTATGAAACATAGTATACCTTTAGTCCTAGATAGGGCGGGGAATACCCGTTTTATTTTTACGGGCAACAGAGCGGTTACAGTTTTATACATGTTCACCTCATTACCCGCCCTTGTTTATTTGTAGTTATATTTTTCTATTTACATTGTGTATACACACTAATTAATAATTATAACGTATGAATTTAAGTTTATAATAGATTCTAATAGTCTTAGTTGTCTTGTGGATGCGCCATACTTTTAAGTGGCATCTCACTTATGGAGTCGTCTAGGCGGTACCATTTTTGTCTTTTAAAATTATATTTTTTATATTAAGGTATCATCATATCAACAACTCATTTAATAAAGTGGTTACCCGTGGTTATTATAACTGCTACTCGTTGAGTATTGAGGGGATTACGGGGCGAGTACAATTATATGCATAAATGTCCCTGATCTGCCTCGTTGTCATCAAGTTGACTTGGCGGAATTAAATCCCCCCTGCCTATATTCTTAACATGATATAAGTGTATAACAAGTAACACTCACTGAATCTCTCTCACTCTCTAGTTGCGGGCATTAACAACTTTTTATCTGCCAGTAGGATCTATTCATTTAAACACAACTTTTGTCTTCAAGGTAAAATAACTTTTTTCAGGCCATTCAAGATAATCTTTGTATCGAATTACACCATGATAGTATTTTTATCATATACGAGTTGCTTGAAAATAAGGTATTGTCTTTCGTTTGATCTAGTTTTATAGGCTATTTGAGGAAACAACAGGTAACAAATTAATGGGCATTTGAAGTAGTCATAGGAAATTATGAATGTCTTTTTACCTTTTCTTAATATACGTGCCAAGTGCAAAATTTTAGAACCTCAGCACTGTCAAATTCGTTAAATCCGGGTTTCCTTTTTTTTCAATCCCATATTTTATCAAATCGGTTTTCCCACCGATATCACCCTCTACGTGCTTTAATTTGAAAGCATTTTTTGATCAACATATTTATAGCTTAGTGGCATCATGCCTAGTCAACAAACTTGTTAGGATCAGCCACAAATACCATTAAAGGAAGATTTTCGGAATTGTCAAATCCGTTTTAGGAGGTGCAAATAGTGACTTGCAACAAAAGTCAGATTAGTAACTTTGTTTCCCGTATTTTTGTGTGCTGATACAAACATTCGAATTTTGGGAAGGCTAACAAAAAAATGTTCGCGTGTTTGGTATTTCCTCAAATATGTTGGTGATTAGAAAAGAATGATGTTCTATTGCAATGGTCAGTTTTTGTGAGTTTGAAAATAATGATTTTACCTCGTTTGAGTTGCGTTAGAAAATAAAGAACGACAGCACTTTCCAAGTTCAGTGACTTTTGTCGGATTAAAAGATGACATTTACACTGGTTATGTTTCAGTTTCATTGCGTTTTTGGAAATCATGCATTTTAAAATGAATAGTATTTTGTGTAGGTCGATCAAATCGGATGCACTATATTTGTCACTATATCAATATGTTAAATGACTCTGTTGCTGAAGGGAAAGACAAAATAATATTCATAAACTTGTAAATGTGTATGTCAAAGAGATAAAAGGTAACAAATCCATATACCATGGAAATATGAATAGTTTTCTAAAAACATTGATTACTTAACTATGAATTAAATCAACATGACATGTGTTGTTTCTATTTCATCTGACGTAGCAAGTTGATTCGGAATGGAGATACAAGTGACTTTGTATAAGATAGAAGCCAATGACTAATATGTATTTTCAACGCAACAAAATTTAAAAACTGAATATTTAATAGTTATGTTAATGATCCTATTTATTGCGTAAATGTTTGAAATTAGATACATGTGTGAAGGTTATGACTTTGAAAATCTTCACACTTAACTCCTAAAGTGAAGGACGTAATGATGATTTTTGTGACAACATCTCATTACATCAATCAAGACACTTCTTGAACAAATACATGTGATTCTAATCTTTTCATTTCGATAGAAGTGCTTACAAATATACAATCTTCCCCTAAAGACGCCATTCAAATTTAGGATGAGGCAATTTGGTTGCCAGTAAAGATTTTGTATATTGAAAATTCACACGGGTGTTATCTTAATTTAAAACATTTGACAAGAAAGTCGTCACATAGGAGGGAGTGTTTAAGTGTTCTACCAGTGACATCAACGTACTAGAAGAAGTGTTCAGGTAAATGAACTCCTACATTATAATATCATCATTTCATGAAAATTTGGATATAATACTCTTCTTTCTTTGTATCTAATAGGTACAAAGAAATATTTGTCATTCTGAGGTCAATCATTGAAAAGGTAATTAACATTATATATAATCAATTAATGATTGAACTAGTTATTATTATAATATACGGAGTAATAATATATGAGTGCATAGAACGAGATATCCATTTTTCGCAGAGACATTGAAGTTATTGTGGATTCAAGTGAATTGTGTAATGCACAAATTCAACAGAAGGGCATAAACTAGTGTTTACAATGGGCAATCTCACTTAGTGTGATAATGATAATTAGAGTTCTCTATGTGTGAAATGGTCAAGGTTGTGTCACGAACATCTAGTGATGTGGCAGAAGCCCAAAAATGTAGCAGCACAAACACGACAAATTGTTCACATGGAATCATTGTTTCTATTGCTGACATATAGCCTCTATTTATATACAATTTTGAGATGGGATATCAGAACCACCTAAGAATGTATCTCTCACATGCATGAACTACCAAAAGAAGTCAATGAGAAACACACTCATGTATTTTGCTTTATTTTAGATTCAAG